GACTGGGAGGCGTAGAGCGAGTGGGGCAGGCGGTAGCTGCCCTAACTAGGCTTGAATTTGACGAAGCATTAATGTATCAGGAATACTACCAGGCCTTCCTAGAGATGGGGCCTTTTGAAGACGAACWGGGRCACGTSGTGCTTCGTATACTACGAGCGGCAGTMAAKACTAGAYCAGGAGTTCCGCAAATAAGTGATGAGGCTATGTGGAGAGTCATCCGGCGGGAAATAGGTCGGGGTGCGACCTACATAGATAACCTTTACCGGCTSTACGAACAACCGGAGGGGGTTGYTGCTCCTGAGGATATGGAGGGGTAGTTGGGATCAGAGAAGAAGAATGAAGACATGAAGGGTAAGGGGGCAGTAGGTGGACGTTTACTAAGGATTGGCTGTAACCCTCTCTATGTGGACTATGCAGGGAATCGCCAAGGCGACAATGGCAGCAAGACGTGTGSGAATGGAACGCCAGCCACGTGTGCGAATGGAACGTCAGCCCCGGTACCCCGGACCGCCCTGGAATAACGGCGGGCGATGGGAAGTGTCCCTCCYGTCAAATCCCAACTTTCGGGGGTTCGACATGGAATGGCGGGCCGTGACCCTAGGAAGAGAGCGCCTTCATGTTGGTGGAATTTCGGTGGACGGGGATGAGACTCAACCGAGGGCCYGGGGACGATTTGTTCACCAATTTAGAAGTAACCGGGSCCCTATACCTACCCGAGGTTGGCTSRCACTTATTGGGGATAGGGATAGCGCAAGGCCACGAGTTGGCCCCAGTTTTTCGAAGGGCGGCCCGGGCATTGACGCGGATAGGACAATCGGTCAGGGGTAGAAGAAACGTGGACTTGCTTACTAGGGTGGAAATGGGGGGTTGGAGGGAGTTCAGGGCACCAACCACACCGCTGAGGTGTCGAGTCCCCCGGTTTATGATAGACCTCATTTTCGGGAGCCGCGCAAGGGCACAAGCGCTGGCAGACTCAGCAATAATCTAGGTAGACCACTTCCCCTTTCAAACCATCTGGATGTTCTACGATGTTTCTGTGGAACATGGGCCGTTTTGGGGAAACAGGGCCCATGAGTTACTGGAAGTCGTCCATATTCTGATATTTGGGTTGCCGCGGCTAGCCTGGGCGGATTACGAGCATATAATCTAAGACAAATCGAAATAGTAGAAAGTTATTTAGCAGGGGTGGCTCAACTATTCGAGGAGCCTACCGAACCAGAAGGGCCACATGGGCGAGAACGGGACTAGCCTCCGGGGACGGGCCAATAGGGCAAATTAAGTATAAATCCGCCGATGGAAATAAGGAAGGGCCTCAGACCCGGACGATCAAAAACCACTAAAGAATGAAGGGGGGGAGGGAGTAGACTCTTAATGGTTGTCATGACCCCGAAGGTCAAAAAGGGGAATGCTGCTCGGGAAACTTTCCTAGCGGGATGCCTAACCCAGACTCCTACGCACCAGCCGACTGGACAAGGGCGCTCTAAACGAGCCTGTGATAAAGGAAACTAAGTCACGCCCTTAGCTCGGCAGGGCAGCAAGGCCAGTCGTGGCTCCTTTTTAAGGAAGCAACCAGGAAACGTAAATAGGGAGAAGGCTATTTCCCGAATAAGAGATAAGACAACAAAGCCAGGGACATAGGGAACCTAAATAACTCGCGTTGTGTGTGTCCTGGGAATTCTCTGGTTTATGCAGAACTAGGCAGAATGGCAACGGAGGATGAGACGGATAACCATAAGGGCGAAGGAGGGCCAGGCTTAGGAGGCAGTGCCGCACAAAGTGAAGAAGGGCAGAAAGACAGAGAATCGATAAATCCAGATGGTACCAAAGGGAACCGGAAGGAAATCTCCTCAGGGGAAAGCTCGGGAAAAGCCGGAGGAAGCAGGCAAGGGACTCAGGAGACCAAGGAAGGCAGGAATAAGGATAGGACAAGCCCCCGGAGTTCAGAGGGAGCTGTGTCAAAGAAAGTAAGGGTCACGGATGCGAGGCGCAAACTAGCAGAGATAGAAAAGAGGACCGCAGAGTACAAGGCAAGATTGATTGAGGAAATGATGACTGGGAACGAAGAAGGCCCTCTGCAGGAGGAGCCGCAGGACGAACGAAAAACCAGCCGAGGAGGAACTGGACAAGGGGATAAGGGTAGCGACCGTGGGGGAACGCCGAGCAAAAGAAGGAAAGAAAGAGAGAACTCTCCGGGGATGGAAGCGGAGAAAGCTACAAACCCACCAGCCATAGATAGTAGGGCTAGCCGTCTGCCGACCACGCCGGCAGTAACGCGGGGGTGTGAAGGGCTCTGGAGCCTCAGGGAAAGGGTGTTGGGATGGTTCGACCCGGAAGGAACTACAAAGACTAGGGAGGGACAGAAGGCCGGCAAGGAAGGTCCGGATAACAGTATGGCAGGCGAGGCCAGTAGCTCCGAGGGCGGCCTTAGGAAGATAGTGTCGTCCCTCGCGCGAACACAAAACAAAAATCAAGGCTACTTAGCGGACGCTAAGAAAAAGTTGACGTTTGACGGGGCGAACATCACGGAATTCCTGATAGATTACGAGAATCTGGCCGCGCTGCTAAAATGGACCGAAGAAGAAAAAATGGACCACCTGGGGCAGCATGTGTCTTTGAGCTTGGGACGGGACATAATGGCCATCGTAGCCGCTAGCCGATCCTRGAAGGAAACCCGGGATGTGATGATGAGAAAGTACCTAGCAGCGGAGAAGATGGCTACGGAGGCCGACCTAGCGGCAGTCCAGAGGAAAAACTTCTCAACGTACAATGATTTCCTACGGGAGTTTACTCTGGTAGCACTAAGGATCCCGGGAGTAACGGATCGGATAATAAGCAAATACTTCCTTAGGCAGTTCTTCGAGTTCGACAAAGACAAGATTCTGTCGGCCTACCAGCAGATGAGCAAGTTCGTAAATACCAGGGATGTTGATTTTAGCACAGTAACGGATCTGGCCGAAAAGACAGTAGTGACCGAGACATTGGCCTTGCTTAAGGAAGGGAAGGTCATAGACCTGACCGGGAGAACAGGAGACAAGGTAAAGAAGGGGATCGAAAGTCTACATGAACGGGTGCACGGAGTCGACAACAAGATTGAAAGGATGGAGAGAGCACTATTGGTTATGCAGGCGCAAGTATCCCGACCCCCCCTCCCTCCCCAGGAAGCCGTAGTTCCACCGGGTGTAGCCAATCGGGGATTTGGACGGAGAGATCCTGCTAACGAGCAATGCAAGTACTGAACCACGATGGGACATTATGTACGCGCATGTCCAAAGCTTAACCATGATATAGTAAAAAGGAGATGTACCAGGTCGTTAAAAGGGGAGATATTCGGACCGCAGGGAGAACGGGTGAATTGGAACCCACCAGGAGGAATGCGGCGACCGTTGTCGGGACTGGTGAGTCCCGAATGTTTTCCCGTTACTCAAGAGACTGTACATGACCAGTTTGTGCACGGCAGAGAAAATCGGAGGCAGGAATGCTGGAAAGATCGGAAGCGTGGGCACAAACAGTAGGAAGCTAGAGGCAGCCCAGAGTCGCCAGGACCGCCAAATTAGAAAAGGACTGCCTAAGCGGGAAGCGGCAAAAGAATAGCAGAAGCGACTCCTTTCCCAAGGACGGAGGAGGGCCGCCGGGAAGTCAGTAGTAGCATAGGGGGCACGCAAGAAGTGTGGTGCCGACAAAACAAAGTACCGGGGACCACAGGGGACTAAGAAGGAGTGCGGTGCAGGCAGAACAAAATGTCGGGGACCAGGGGACGGCGTGGTGCCGGCGGGGCAGAGTACCAGGAAACGCATGAGACCAAGGGAAAAGACGCAGTGTAGGCGGGCCGAAGTGCCAGGGACCGCGTAGGCCTAGATAAAATGGTGGCACCGGCGCAACCACTAGCAGGATGGGTAGCGACGGTGTAAAGTGGCGAGAGCCGCCGACAGGGGCTGAAAGCCGGAGCCATCGGCAGAATAATCGGCAACCAGCCCAAGAAGGAGGGCGTGCGAAAGCGGGACGTCAACCGGGATGACGCTGGGAATAGGGGGGCTAGGAACCATAAGAAAAAGAGGAGAAGTCGGGCGCTAACGAAAGTTGCCAACGGAATGGAGGGGACGGACGTGAGACGGGAAAGACGGAGGGCACCTAGGGCGACCCAAGGGGACCCAGGATCAAGTGCAACAATGATACATAAAATAGCATGACGTCAGGTGGACGGGACCAACCGGGCCGGGGGAGTCCGGGCGAAGAAGTTAAGTGTCGCCGCAACGAGCGCCGGCAGGAGATGCCAATGGGAAAAGAACAGACGGAGTAGGGGCAGTAAGGGGGGCCGGCCAGCAGTCCGAATACCCCGGCTCAGCCAGGCCAGGCAAAACGAATTTCCAGGGGCTCCACGTGGAATAAGGGCTGGCCGGAGAAAAATCGGAGCAAGGGGGGTCCCAAACTGGAAGCGGCGGCAGCAAAAAGGAGCCTCTTTGGGCCTTGGGGGTGCCATTACTGCAGTCCGGGGTGTAACGGCCATATGCCGGCTGCAAAAGCAGACCTTGGGAAAGGTCCAACAGCCAGAAAGAGAAGAAATAGTTGTTGGACGCTTGTCCCAACAGAAATTAAAGAGGAAGGAGAGAAAGAGGGGAGAGAAAGGGGGAGAATGAGACAAAGTAGGAGGGAGGAGTGCAGTCCGGATGGCAGAGATAAGGCCCTTGGGGCATTATCTCTGCAAAATCTAAGTTAAATCAGCAAAAATGCAGAAAAATGCTGATGTGAGTTGGCCGGCTATTTTGTTGGTCTTATATCTGAGATCAGATCTTGTGGAGGAGGAGATCTAGCCGTTTTTTGTGGGCTGACACAAAACGGCTAGCTCCGGAATGAGGTGGCAGCAAAATGGAGGGAAAACAAAGCAAGAAAGAGGACAAAACTGGGAATTTGGCCAAAGGGTTGGGCCAAATTCATCAGAAAGTTGAAAATTGGAGTAAAGGCCTCAATTTTGGAGATAGGGAGACTCGAGAAGAAGCCGGAGCATTGTGGACCTTGGATCTCAGCCAGATCCAAGGCTGAGATGGATGCCGCCACTTTGAAAATGCAACGGCCTACTCCAAAAAGGCCTACATCTGGAAAAAGACAAGAACAAGGCCTTTAGGCCCTCAATTTTCACCAAAGGCAGCATTTTGGGCATGGGTATCCCAAAAAGACAGCAGCTTGGGAAGGAAAAGAGGCCGGGGAAGGCCTATGAGTGGTCTGAAGTGGTACCAGCCACTTCGGCTGCATGTACCTGGCCAAAATGGGGCCCAGGTACCTCCAGAGAGGCCAAAACTTGAATTTTGGCCTTGGAGGTACTTCGGCCTACCAAGGGGGCACTTGGAGAGGCCTAGGGGCTAGGCGACGCACTAGTTCCAGCCACATAAGCTGGGAGTGCTGCCCGCAACTCTCATTTGAGCATGAGAGGTGCCCATGCTGCCAGTTTGAGCCCGTGAGAGCACTAGTGAGAGTAGGGCAAGGAGGAGTGAGCCGGTGCTTGCCTTGAAGCCTGGCTATGGTGTTTTGAGGTAGGAAGGAGGACTAGGAAGCTAGGGGAGGTGGTCCACCATAGCCCTCAGGTTGTGAGGTAGAAGGAGAGGCTGGTTGGGGTCCCTTAGCCCTTCTAGAGGGAAGGACTCCACAGCCCTAGTAACAGGGGCTGGCCATAGACTGAGAGGAGAAGTGGAAGAGGAAGGAGAAGGGAAGCCATATCCAAGGAACTAGAGCCAAGCTTGGGACTTCATCGCTAGGGTACAAGCAAGGAGGTGAGTGAAAAGGAGGGAGGCCTCTCCCTCCTTCTTCCTCCTCTCCCCCTTCTCAGTCTTCTTCTCCTTCTTCCCTCCTCCTTTCTTCCTCTTCTTCTTCTTAATCTTCTTCTTCCTCTTCTTCTTCTCCTTCTTCTTCTTCTTCTTCCTCTTCTTCTTCCTTTGCCTTTCTTTTCCTCTCTCCCCCTCCTCCATCCTCCTTCCCTCTTGTCAAATCTTGGTTTTCCACTCTTGTGAGTGCTTGTACATGTTGCGATTCATCCTATGACACTTCCGTGAAGTTTCCCCTTGGGTAGATGCTCTCAAACTTGAGTTTTCACTGTTGATAGTGCTTGTACATGTTGCGATTCACCTTGTGACACTTCCATGAAGTTTCCCCCGGGGTAGATGCTCTCAATCTTGATTTTCCACTGTTGTGAGTACTTGTACATGTTGCAATTCATCTCGTGACACTTCCGTGATGTTTCCCTTTGAGTACATGCTTCAAATCTTGATTTTCCACTGGTGTGAGTGCTTGTACATGTTGCGATTCACCTAGTGACACTTCCATGAAGTTTCCCCTTGGGTAGACGCTCTCAAACTTGAGTTTTCACTGTTGTTAGTGCATGTACATGTTGCGATTCACCTAGTGACACTTCCGTGAAGTTTCCCCTTGGGTAGAAACTCTCAAACTTGAGTTTTCACTGTTGTTAGTGCTTGTACATGTTGCGATTCAACTTGTGAAACTTCCGTGAGGTTTCCCTTTGAGTAGATGCTTCAAAATCTTGATTTTCCACTGTTGTGAGTACTTGTACATGTTGCGATTCATCTTGTGACACTTCCGTGAAGTTNCCCTTTGAGTAGATGCTTCAAAATCTTGATTTTCCACTGTTGTGAGTACTTGTACATGTTGCGATTCATCTTGTGACACTTCCGTGAAGTTTCCCCCTGGGTAGATGCTCTCAATCTTTATTTTCCACTGTTGTGAGTGCTTGTACATGTTGCGATTCACCTAGTGACACTTCCGTGAAGTTTCCCCTTGGGTAGATGCTCTCAAACTTGAGTTTTCACTGTTGTTAGTGCTTGTACATGTTGCGATTCATCTTGTGACACTTCCGTGAAGTTTCCCTTTGAGTAGATGCTTCAAATCTTGATTTTCCACTATTGTGAGTACTTGTACATATTGCGATTCATCTTGTGACACTTCCGTGAAGTTTCCCTTTGAGTACATGCTTCAAATCTTGATTTTCCACTGTTGTGAGTGCTTGTATATGTTGCGATTCACCTAGTGACACTTCCGTGACGTTTTCCCTTGGGTAGATGCTCTCAAACTTGAGTTTTCACTGTTGTTAGTGCTTGTACATGTTGCGATTCACCTTGTGACACTTCCGTGAAGTTTCCCCCTGGGTAGATGCTCTCAATCTTGATTTTCCACTGTTGTGAGTACTTGAACATGTTGCGATTCATCTTGTGACACTTCCGTTAAGTTTCCCTTTGAGTAGATGCTTCAAATCTTGATTTTCCACTGTTGTGAGTGCTTGTACATGTTGCGATTCATCTTGTGACACTTCCGTGAAGTTTCCCTATGAGTAGATACTTCAAATCTTGATTTTCCACTGTTGTGAGTGCTTGTGCATGTGGCGATTCACCTAGTGACACTTCCGTGAAGTTTCCCTTTGAGTAGGTGCTGTAAATCTTGAGTTTTCACTGTTGGGGGTGCTTGGACATGTTGCGATTCATCTTGTGACACCTTTGTGGCATTTCCCCTTGACTAGAGGCCCTCGACTTTGAGTTCTCACCGATCACGGTGAATGTATGAGTTGCGAATCACCTGGGGTTACCTCCATGAACTTTCCGGTAAGATAGATGCTTTCAACTTTGTGTTTTCATTAATCTTGATAAGTTTATGAGCCGCAAATTACCTTGGGTCACTTCTCTAAGTTCGGCAGTGGAATAGGATTGGTCGCGAGCCGCGGGACGAGCAAACCACCATAGCCATGCACCTTCAACCCCCCACCTCCCTCCTTCACCTACACCCATCCACCATAGTCATGCACCTTCAACCTCCACCTCCCTCCTTCACCTGCACCCATCCACCATAGCCATGCACCTTCAACCTCCACCTCCCTCCTTCACCTACACCCATCCACCATGGCCATGCACCTTCAACCCCCACCTTCCTAGCCAGGCACCTTCAACCTCCACCTCCCTCCTTCACCCACACCCATCCACCATAGCCAGGCACCTTCAACCTCCACCTCCCTCCTTCACC